ATTTAAGTTCATTGCTTCATTATGGCCCAAGAACACTCATATTACCGTGGCAAAGTAATTAACGATTCCAGAATATACGATGTACTATCCGGATTTGACTGCTTTTAGGAATTTTTATGGGATCTGCAGTCCAGTCTGGTTGATAATGCTTTTGGGAAGTAAGGAAATATACCACATAGTGAAATACATTAGGCCTGCTCATGTTATTGGGCGGAAATTCAGCTACCAGCTGAATTTCACATAAAGCGAAATAGGACAAGCACATATCTAACTCTCATACATTCCTTCCATATACTTTTGAACCTGCTGTTATTTACAGATATATATTTTTATTTCTTTATTCCAATCCATTTAACTTACTTGAGATACTAGTTCTGTTTGTATGTCTGGCATTTGAATGGCTTACAGCCATTGTGTGAAGCGGTCCATGATGGTGAAGACATAGCGTTTTTCTTTAGAAGGTGGAAGGGGACCCATATATATATATATATTGAAATATTTCGCTGATGAATACACCACCAAGAATTCACGGCTAAAGGTGCTATATCTATTTTCTATTGGTGTGAGTTTCAGAGAGTAGAAAGCGAGAGGCTAAGGAGCTCCATCAACAACATGATAAAAGGCACCTCTCAGAACCAGGTTGAGGACGCTGGCCACGAGGTAAAGATCAGCATCTGAATCTTAATGTGCCAACATGATCACTTTGACGAAGGCTGATTTAATGCATTTGAAATAGCATTGCTCATCGTCAGATAGGGAGATGTCATTTTCGGGGTCTTTAGATGCTCCTCCAAACTTCTGCCTTTTCGAGCTAAGACCACGTCCGTAACACGTTGCAGAGGACATCTGCCTGGAACAGTCACAGCATTGAGCCTTTTAAAATCACCACAGGGCCTCCATTCGTTCCTATCTTTCTTTTGGAACAAATAAAGCGCGGACGCCAATTCACTTCTTGATAGGCGAATAATACCAGTTTTTCTTAGACCATTGAGCATAAATTTGGCTGCCTTCAGCTTGTCAGGAGTCATTTGACAAGGTCGGTGGAAAGCTAGGTGACCGTTAGTCTCGATGTGATGCATTATCTTGTGGTTAGTTGTCAATGGAGGGGTGTTTGCTCAGCAGCTCATTTCAGGTTGAATTTTTCATCCTAAACATCTGGCACGAGTGTTACAAAGGAGCTGGTTTAGCATATATCCACTGATATTTTAATGCTTCTAAGAGTCTGTTATTGACAGGATCCACAAAAAGTTTTCTAACCGTGATGATTTTAACGTATATGTTTGGTCAAATATCTAAGAACAAGGGGAGCATAACCCTGTGCTTGAAATGCGTACTTATCGTGTTTCCAACACAATCTTCCTGGGCTTGGATGACGGTAAATTGGAGGTTATCGTGCTCTGGAATTCGAGGGTGGAGGGCGCTCCTGCAACTTTAACTGCATAGCTTGTAATATGTCTAGGTTTTTCTTCATGGTCGTTTCAAATCCGAGTATTCGCTTGTCTTGGATGGCGGTAACAAAATGTGTTATTTGGATGATCACTACTATCACGTCATCCGCAGTCTTAGTTAACTTTTCATAAGTTTGGCCCTTTGAGCTTTTCAAGGTAATCTGGATTTCGACCGAGAGTTTTTGATCCATATGTGACACAATATAGATTTAACCTGAGGATTAGAACCGGAATAATGACGTAAGCGAGCTAAAAGGACTTATGGCTTATGATCTTATAAAACTCAGTCCTCTAATAAAGATTCCATTCTCTGTTGAATGAAGGAGTTGTTGATTCAATGATCCTCAGCCAAAGCTTCTCATAGCAATCCTGATCCTATCTTTTTCGTAGGAAATGATACGTAAAGTTGACGATATCATCCGAAAGATGTTCGAAAACTATGAGGAATTTCGCTTCATGCCTTTTAATACAATTAGTTTCGAATATCAAGTCGATTAATTCAAACCGAAGTTGTGTACTATATCTGTTGAAAGTGGGTACTTTGACGTTTACCGCGCCTACTGCAACAATCTGATTGTCATTTTCAGTGAAGTTGGGTTGTCTTGTTGACGGGAATGGCAGGATGAAAACTAGGAAAATAATTTGATGTTTAAGCTGCTATTATAGGATGTATGCACCCTATTTCGTTTAAAGTGATTGAGGACTGGCACTAGAATTTTCACACAATGTTATAAGTAGAGCCGACGTTTTCACTGAATTTTACATAGCCTTACTTTACCAAAAGTAGTTCTCATCCAGAGTGGACTGTAGCTTCTACCTCGCATAGGTCTTAATAATTTTTTGCCAACTCACCATCCTACTCTTTTCTCACTAAATTGATTCGTTACGCTGGCAGTAATATCTCAAAATTTACTTTGCACAAAGTCCACTGGACTTATTCACCATGTTGTTTGATAGGAAGCCGAAATTACGTCGCGCAATGTGACTGCTCTTAGGCTTTATTTTCTTTACGACGATTTTCAAATTATGTAAACTATATTCGCTCGCCAAAGCAGTATTCCGCCACTTTGCAGTTCCACTCCTCTTCCAACACATTTTGCTTAACATACGCTACTTTGTGACTTGATCTCATTTCTCTTATCTAGTTGGATAACTATACATGGCAGCACGTAGCTAAGCGTATTTTTAGACTTAGATCACAAAGTTGTAGTAGGGCGAAATACAGCCTTGCAGCCTGGTTGGGTTAAAAATCTACCAAAAAGGTAGCAGAGGAAAAGAGTGCTTAGTTGAAATTTTTTGTATAGGATGTGATTTGATCATAATATAGTGATAAGGTATAGGAACATAGCCATGGTGAAAGTGAAAATACATTCCATTATATCTAAGCGGAAATTTTAACGAGAATTTTATTTCATGAGAGGTTTCTACATTATATCTAAAAGGTTCAATCCTTTCCGAGTTTATAAACAGCCAAAGGGGTTTTGCATAGCATTCAGGATCTATCTATTGACAATTAACTAATAAGAATGTTAAATACTCTATTCAAAAAAACACTTGATTTTATGCAGTACCTCGAATCGTGAGTATAAAATAAGTGAAATATAGTTATATACTTAAATCCTGATCTCTACATTAATGTCAATACCTTATTATTTTGTCTGTTTAAGCGATGAACACAAGCTTGAATCCCTAAAAAATGCTCTTAGCTAGCATTTCGAAAAGATCAAGATTAATGTCAAATATAATTGTAAATCAGCTCATATGCAACGCCAAGCCTTATAGGCTAATAGCTTTTGTTGCAGAGTATATCTCAGGCCTCTTTTAGCAATAAACCAAAATATAGATAGTTATCATCTTTCACAAATAAGAATTTTATGTAGATTAATTCCAAAATGTTTTATAATCTCTGAAACGAAATGACAGCAGAAAATGGACTGTCTTGCTCATTTTTAAAAATGTTAAGGAATGCATATATCGTGTAAATCTGCTTTAATCGCTGAAATATTTCCAAAGTGCTAAAAATAGCACACGGGTTCAGAAAGTACCCTATTTAATGTCAGTTACAAGAAGTTAGCACTGTTGTTCTAGCGATAGATAATAATTGGGTTGAGATATGCTTCCCTTTGAACTACATCACGGTAATGCTTCTGTATTGTTAGCATATCCCAGCACTCTCTTCAGTATAATCGCGGTCAATTTGTCTTAGTAATTTCCCATTTAACAAAACCGCTTGATTTGTCCGCCTGCAATGCGAAAGCTAAGGTGGCTGTTTAACAAGCCGAGTAATTTAATTCCTCCGATATTTTTAATTCTTACAGAAGTGTGTCAGAATTTTGTGCAGGTTCAGTTTAGAAACTTATCCAATCCTCAAAAAATAATAAGTATTACATTCATCCGAGGTAGCAAAAGGATAATGATAGTCAAATTTTTCTACGATTATATAAATAGTCCTCGTGCTTTCAGTTAAATTCATATTACCTTGCTTCCCAAAGCGTATTCTCATTTAGTTTGGACTATATTTTTGATCTCGTTTTAACAACTTTGTCTTATTACAGGGCGACTTAGTAGAACACACCTTGTCCCAAGTTCTCTTCCATATAGTTATTATAGTTCTCAGCATCAGACCGTGGGTTTCCACATTCTCAGACGTTTCGCCGGCATCACCAATGAGCGTTGCCATTCTTCATACAAAGCTACAGACCTGTAAGAGGCAAGTGAACTCAATCCCTCGACCAACGTTCTGCCGAAAACGATTACACTATCCCTTATATCTCTGTCCTGGCCCATCTATCAACTCTTTATCATGGTCTGATTCTGGAAATTACAATAAATACTATGGCAGAGGACTTCAGACAAGGTGCGTTCTATTAAGTCACCCTGACAGCAAGACCAAGTTGCGAAAACAAGATCAAACAACCTCTATACAACGAAAGGAGACTGCGACCATACAAAAGGTCACACTGTCTTGGTCTTCATATCTTCGAGTAAATGGAATATATTTGAATTGCAAGAGGAAAAATTTCTTAACGGCAGAATGAATTAATATATGTGGCAATAATATTTGCTGTGAATAAGAAAACCATATATAAAGAAAAAGTATATGACCATTTTCAAGAATTTCTTTTACACGTTAAGGCAAAACTTATGTAGAAAAGCCACAATAGTGGGATTTGCCAAATTATTAATATAGATAAGTGTATATGAATGAATGAATTTGAAAAAGGCGGAGCACGCACGGAGTGAAAAATACGAATATTCAATGATAGAACGCAAGCACATCAACCAGCCTTCTTGGTTGCAGCACGTAAAGCTTGGCTGATTGCGGCTTAGACCTTACTGTGATGGGTGAAAGCCTAACACCTTGAGCCAAAGACCCAGAGACCAAGTTATTGGCCGGCCACGACTGGCCAGACTGAGATGGCCTTAGACTACCGGAAAGAAGGCTCTCTGGGCTTCGGAAGCCACCGGAAGGTTGATGCCGAGGTAAAGTAGACTGGTCGGCTGAGGTCTGGTCGTCAGAGAATCCACTGAAGACAAATACAGCACCGTGACTGAGGATAGCCGAGAAGCCTAAAAGCTCGCGAGGCGCACCGGGTAGATCAAGGTAAGTGGATCGAACAGCTGGGGTCCAGACAGCAGTTGGTGGTGGACGTGAAAAAGGGGAATTTGATTGAGAAAAGTGGCGGTCAATTAAAGGAAGATTGGTCAGATGAAGAGAATATGGCACTAGTGGTCGGAACAAACGGCAACCTGGGTCCAATTCTTCGGGATCAAAAATTAGCGAGTTTGATGATGAAGGGGATGAAATGTTTCTGATATTTGATGGGGCATGGGGAGGCGATGAAAGCGAGTGATTTGCAGAAGGTTCTTCGTGGAAATCTGCCGCTCTGGAACCTGATAAAGGTGAAATAGAAGGGACAATTGGGCACAATCCAGACAAGCCAGATGAATCGACATCGATCGGTGATGAGTTAGAATCAATGGCAACATCATCTGAAGATTGAAGATTGCTCGAGATGGAAGCAGCGGGTGGACCAAACAAACGACGCTCAAGATTGGCAAGGGCAGTCAGCTGTTTTGCGCGGCGAGCGTTTGCACGCAAAGTATAAGGTAAGCTGCCTGGAGGCGCAGGCATCTGAGAGACTCTGGGAAATTTCAGATCTGAAAATTAAGTCGACCAACCATATAATTCGCAAATGTTATTACGGTAGGTTAACGTTGAATCAGAGATTTGAAAGTGTGAGTAAATTAAATTAACTCTTGATAAACTTTTATAAATCAGTTAGTCGAATTTTGAAGAATTCCGTTCCAACAAGGAGATGACGTTAAAATCAATTAACGAACAATTATGCACTCAATCCTTTTATAGGATAATACCAATAAAAAGGACTTTGTGCTTCTTTATGTGAACGTAAATCCCTGAAAGAAGGCTTGAGTCAAGACTATCGAAATGATAAGCAAGGTAAGCTTGAGAGTATAAAATAAAAGTTGAGAACTATTACAGATTGCTATTTAACTAGCTTGATGATAGCCTCAAAAAATAAAAGAAAATAACGAAATTATTAGCAAGATAGGCTCAACTATAGGAAGGTACATAATTAACCATTTTAAGGTTATGACACAACATTATCAACGCTTTACTCCCAATCTTGTGTATACAAGGTTACACATTATACTCATAAGCAAAATGCAGTTACAGAATAACCCTGGCCT